AATCAACAAAATTGCATGGGTTAAATTTTTGTGTTCCCTCCTGTTAATTTTGTGTTCCCAGTACGTTCCCTCCTGTATGTCACGATCGAATCGTCACATCCAGTGTAACGATATATTTTGTTACCCCATATTATTAATTAAATAATTATAAATATCTTTTCCTACCATTAAAATTTCCTTAAAATAAATAAGAACAAGGAAGGAAGGACAGGTTAATTAATTTTGTTTGTTCTTTATAATAATAATTTATTTGTTTGTTAAAAAAAACTCTTTCTTTCTTTTATATAAAAATTTTTTTTTTTTAATTTGTTTTATTAGTTATTCCTGATCTTTAAAAAATTTTTTTTAGTATTTTATCAAAAGTATTTCATTAAATTTTAATATATATATATATATTAAATGGCAACACCACGGCCAGTTTCTGAACAATATAATCTTCAAACACAAACACAACAAAAGTCAGGATCCAATCCTCAATACAGAATGTCAGCAGATTTATCACATTTAGGTGGCCAACAAGCCACCAACCATAGAGGCTCTCGCCCAACCTCCGAAGTATTCCCCACTAACAATCACAACTCATATCAGTCACCTGAAGGTAAAGTTAAACAAATATATATGTGTATACATGCATAATTATAATAAAAGTTTTATCTACTTCTTTGTTCCTTTAATTAATCAATTAAATAATTATATAAATTATTATCTAGCTGAAGCAATTGATAAATGGTTTGAAGATCTTCAACACTACGAACAAACTCTTGAAGAAATGGCAACGGCAAGTTTAGATGAAACTTTTAAAGAAGAATTAAAAGCTATTGAACAATGGTTTCGTGTGTTATCGGAAGCTGAAAGGACAGCTGCTTTATTCAGTCTGCTTCAGCATTCAACTCAAGTACAAATAAGGTTTTTCATAACTGTTTTACAACAGATGGCTAGAAATGATCCAATGGGTGCTCTTTTATCACCAGCAAATCCTGAGAAAGGTCAGTTACAGTGTAATGAATGTGTGTGAAAAAATAGAACAGCAAGATCAGAATTAATTAATTAATTAAGCAAAGGAAATGTATATATATACATCAAGTGTATACACATAAAGTTGATCATCATAATAATTTATTCTAATACTATCTTTTAACAAAAATAATATTGAATTGTTTTACAAAAAAAATTTCTAAATTTATCAAATTTCCCTTTTGATATTTTAATATATATATATATATATATATATATAAACACTCAACTCACATATCATGCACGCACACTGTCTTCTCCTCTCATATATATAGATTTAATGCAAGCGCAATTATCAGGTGCAATTAAAACAGAAGCAATGTCACTAAAATCACCAACCAGTCAAACATATCCACGTCGTCTTTACGATAGACATTCCGGTGTAGACTTCCTATCGCCCGAAGCCGCCATTTATACAGATCCTGCCGTGGCATTGGCACAAAAAAGAGCAAGACTTCAAGCAAATACCGGTAATCGTTCTGCAACTTTATTTCAAACAAGACCAAAATCGATGATATCAGAAACAGATCCAAGTCTATGGAATTCCTCAGTTGCACAAACTCCTACAACTGCCAATTCTGTTTCTGCCAATAATAATAATAATAATAATAACAATAACAATAATAACGTAATTTAATACTAATCTAATAATGTTTATAATAATAACAATAGTCAGTAATAATAGTAATTCTTCAATAAAAATTCTAATTCTAATAATTCTAATAATAATCTTTCTTAAGGACCGTACAACTAATGGTAGACCAAAATCAGCCGACCTTAGTGCTTGGACCCCAAGTTACTCTATACATTCGCCTAGACCTGGTGCTTTTGATGCTGAATTATCACCGTTAGTAGGCGGTAGTTGGGCTAGTATGGTTCCGACGCCGGTTGTGCCAATGTTTGCCGAAAATAAAAACAAACAAGCTGCAGATGCAGAATTGGTCAATAAGAAACTTGCAAATTGGAATTTAAGTAATAGCTCAGGCAATAGAATTGTTTTGGAAAGTGATGTTAAAAAGTTTCGCCGTAATCAAGGAAAAAATAATTCGGGTGTACCTGCTACTGTACAAGAAGAAAAATACAATCATTATAATCACAATCATAACAATAACAATTATAACCATAACAATCATAACCATAATCATAATAACAATAATAATAATTCAAATCTTGGAACTAATATCGTATTATCAATGTATGATACTGATGGTAATTTAAGATCACCTCAACAATCTCCAATGCCAAGCCCAAATATTGTTGGTTCAAGACAAGGTTCAAGGCCACCATCACCAAACCATCATCACAACAATCAATATCAAGCTCATCATGGTGGGTGGTCGGCATCAAATGGAAAAGGTGGTAGTGGAACACATTTAGCACCACCACCTAATCTAGTACGTGTCGGTAGCGATGAAAATAACGGTTATCATAGCGATCATAGTGATGCTTCACATAATGCTGGTAATAATAATAATAAACCAAAGGGTCATGGTAAAGCTAAAAAGAAACAAACCGATGATACAGTTGATTTTAACTTATTAGAAGGTAAATAAATGATTTATGATTCAGATAATATATATATATATATATAACATTTTACTAAAAATAAAAATAAAATTTTTCAAATTAAAAAGATGTTCCTGCATGGCTTAGAAGTCTTCGATTGCATAAATATACGCAGGTATTTGAAGGAATGAAATGGCAAGATATTATTGAATTGGATGATCCAACATTAGAACAGAAAGGTGTGGCAGCACTCGGAGCTCGACGAAAGATGATTAAAGAATTTGATAAAGTTAAAGAAGCAATGGTAAATGATTAATAAAATAATTTGTATTTGTATTTTTAATAAATACTATTTTTATTAATAAAAAAAATTTTTTTTGTAGAAAGAAAATGGCTTAAGTGCAGCACCGTCGTCATGATTATTATTTTTTTTAATTTTGTATTAAGCGAGGTACCTTTATTTTTTTTATGACTTTGGTTTATGTTATCATATTATTACAATGAATGAATAAACAATTACTAATATTTATCTATTACATTTGTTATATTTTGTAGGAATTAAAGCTTTGAATATAAAAAATATTTTAATATTTAGAAAAAAATTTTCATTTTTATTTTTATTTTTATTTTGTGAATATAATATATTAATATAACAATTATTTTTAATTTTAATTTTTTTTTTAAAAAAAAATCCTGTATAAAATTTTTTTAGATCTTCAATTCTTTTTACTTGGAGGACAGGATCCTTACTTTTTTATCTTACGACATTTTTGTTATAATTATTATTAATTTATCTTTTCCCCTTCCTCAAGAACAATAACAATTATAAATATTGGGAAGGGATTGAAGATTTCATTTCTATTATTCTTATAATTAATTAACTATTTATTTATCTTTAATTTATTAATTGTATGTTTTTATAAATATAAAATTAATATATATAAAAACGGGTAATATAAATTTTTTAGTCACTATTTTCCAATGTGGTGCGTCATATTATTATTCATTTTCACGTACAGTACTACAACAATTTAAATATTACACCGAGTAAATAAATTTTACGATCTAGTTTTGCAGTATTAGATTAGGAGATAATATTTCAATGCAGGTTTATTATTAGATATTACAGAACTCTCGTTATAGTAATAGTGGACCCTCAGTTCCATATGTAATTTTCCACTGTTAAAAAAAACTTGGGGAAGCAAAAAAAAGCCCGCTGTAACGAGAGTTGACTGTATACAAGATATAATGTGATTTTATTTACTATTGCTACTGCATGATGACAACATTACTATTTCTATTATGTAAGAGTAGGTTCTTGCATTCATCCAAAATTGAACCTTATTTTCCACCGAAAGTCCTTCTTATATTAATATACATTTTAATTTCCTATTTGCATGGCATAATCCTTGCAGATAATTGACAGTTTCAAAGTGTAATATCAATATTAATATTAATAAAAATACAATCCAATTATTAGCTGCATATTTCAAATTTAATTAAACTTTAATTAAACTTTAATTAACCCAAGGATTTTTGCCTAGCAACAACAACATAAATGTAATAAATTATCAATTGAACTTATTATTTTAAAGAATATGTTCCTATATGCCTATGCTTCAAGCTTTATAATACAAAGATATTTAAAACTTGAAATCTATGATCCGAATTTAAAAGTTCTGGGTTTTTTTCTCAAGACGTTTTGCCACTTCTATTTTTCGTCCACGATAACTATCTAATAAATTGATCATTATACCATAAATCTGGTATGATTTTGTTGTGAGACAACGATCGTATATGTAATTAACTGAATAATCACCACGTTTATATTTTGGATCATGAACCTCGTTAAATGTTTGCTTCTCGTTTTTAGCAAATTTACTTGAACAAAAAACGTACGCATATCACGTGTTATTTATAGTATAATAATAATATAAACAACTTGTATCACAGTATCACACGAGTTGGATTTTTAAATTTTTTTTTTTTATAATATTTAGATTTTGTTTACCAAAAAAATTTTCTTTGAATCAATTGAAATTTCAAAATGGTAAGAACATTCTTTGTTTTTAATAGTCTTTTCTAAATAATATTTTGGATGGTAATTATCTGTTGTTTTAAAAGTTTAATGTTGTTTGGGGAAAAATTAAACATTTGTTTGAATATATTAAATGTAGTCGATAACAAAGAACTCCAAAATGTTAAATCTGATAAATTATCGACTTCGAATAACAATGTCAGATTCGAGAGTCTTAACAGGGCAGATGTTAGCTTTTGATAAGCATATGAATTTGGTGTTGGCCGATTGTGAAGAATTCCGAAAAATTAAACCTAAAAGTGGATCAAAAGTACCACAGGGTCAACCAGAACATGAAGAGAAAAGAACATTGGGTTTAGTGATTCTAAGAGGTGAAACTATCGTTAGTCTAAGTGTTGATGGACCACCACCACCAGCTATTGATGAATCAAAGTCTAAGTTAGCACAAGTAAAAAATCACTTTATCAAAAAAAATTTTATTTATTTATTTATTTATTTACATAATTTACATAATTATTTATTTTAATTAGCTTCCTATTGGTCCTGGTATAGGTCGTCCTGCTGGTAGAGGTTTACCAGTCGCACCACCAGGTGCTACCCCAGCAGGTAAGTTTTTTATTAACTTTATATGATTATAAAAAAATTTTATCATGATTCAACAAATTATTCTTTCAAAAAAAAAAGGTCTTACAGGACCTGTTCGCGGTATAGGTGGGCCATCTCCTAGTATAATGCAACCAAGAGGAACAGCTCCAGCAGCAGCAGCAGCACCGCCTATATCATATGGTAGACCACCAATTCCTGGACAAATTCCTTCTGGAATGCCACCCGGAATGGCACCTAGAGGTATGCCACCTGTAATGGCAGGTATGCCACCTGGTTATAGAGGTGGGATGGGACCACCACCGGGTATGCCATCTGTAATGGGAGGTATGCCACCAGCTTTTAGAGGAGGCGCACCACCTCCTGGAATGAGACCAATGTCTATGGGAATAGTAATTATCAATTAATTGTTTGATTGTTTTTTGTTTGATTAAATTATTTGATTACAAATTTTTCCTTGTTTAATTAATAGCCTGGTGGACCTCCACCTTTTTCAGGAGGCGGGCGTGGAATGCCTCCAGGGTAAGCAATCAAGTATTTTTTTTCCTCTCAGTAAAGATTAATAATTTTATTGTATAGATAAATATATACAAACATATATGTTATATAGTTTTCCGGTACCTGGCCAAGCACCACCTCAAGGATTTAGACCTCCAGCCATGCGACCACCACCACCACCTCCTCCAGGAGGTCCTCAACAAAATCAGGGCCGTGGACAACAACAATAAAATTCGTTTTTTATAAAAATGAATAATAAAATTTAATCAGTCATTCAGTCATTTGTGTGCAATATTTTGCTATTTTAACCCATGTAAAAACTAACTTTTATTTTCATAAATAACTATATTTGTTATATATATGTTGTACATGAAATTGAAATTATGTGAATTTGAAATTTAAATTCACATATGTAAAGAATTCAAAATTCACATTAATATATACAACACTGTCAAATAATTAAAAAATAAAAAAAACACTTATAGACATTTTCCTACAATTTTCTTTTTTCGCCCAGTTACGTTTTTTTTTAACCTTCTTTTCCTACCAAGTCCCAATTAAATATATGGAAAGGTATAAATAAACTTTCATACCACAAGAAAACCTTTTGGTAATGTTGTACGTGAAAATGAAATTATGTGAATTCGCAATTCAAATTAGCCAATCAGAATTTCACCCCACTCAATATTTCAAATTTCACACTGATTATTTAACAAGTATGGCTACTCTTGTCAGTTAATCGCAAGCAATTCATTTTTAAAGACCTGATAGTGACTAATGAGGTGTAAAATACTCTAAGTTTTAATATGGTCATTACTTTATTGGGGTGTTGGTTAATAAGGTTTGCTAAAAACTATTTTGTAGAAATTTAATAGTCAAGAATTTTATGCAGATTGGATTTAGCAAAAGTTTTTTAAAAGAAAAAAATCAAAAGATCCAAGTTTACAACTGATTATTTATGAAAGTGAACTTGAAACTTTCGTCTTCCAACATGTATGTGGCTCACCCATGGAATAAAAAATCCATGGATATGAAGCGTGCGAGAGTACCTTAACGCATGTTTGTGGTAGATTTTTAATTATTTGCCTTTAAGGGACTATATCCCGAGTAGACGCATTATTTGTTCATTTTCCACATGGTATTATTTATTACTTGGGTGATGCAATTATTTATTACGTCAATGATAACATCGATAATGGTAAGGATTTGGGAAATCAACTTTTTTCGTTATTTTTGCTCCGAGACACCATCAGAGAATATTAGAAGAGCTCCTTGAAGGAAGCATATTACATGTGGTTTCAGATGCAAGAGTAAAATGGACCAACGAAGAAGATTAAACATGGTTTTGCAGAAGAATAATATATTCTTATTAAGTATAGATAACAGATTATTATTATGAAGATATAGGAATAATCTTTTATTGTCCATCTTTGCCGCTCTCATCCTTGCTCTTCTTTTACTTTTATCGTTAAGAATGTATTTCCTTAATGTAATAATTTCTCCTATAAAAGAATTAATTAAATTAATAAATATTTTTTTTCCTTACAAAAATATATAAACATTATTTTTTTTCTTTCACACAAAAATTTTTCTCTCGCTACCCACCTTTAGCCATTCATCATTTAGCAATTCTAATTCACGAATGTCAAATGTCTAAATAAATATATGCGAATTAATATCAAGTTAATAATGAGTTAATAAAATGAAGGTCAAATAATTGTTTAATTTAGTAGTAGATTTATCCGCTTTATTACTTTATTTAAATCTGCTTTTTGTTGAAAATATACTTTTGAACTAGTATACTATAATAAATGATCAGTGGACTGTAAGTAACAACATTAAAAATAATTAATAATTAATAAATAAAAATAGGTTAAAAAATAAATTGTTACCAGCATGTGTGCTTCAGGATTTGTAGATATAGGTGAATAATAAATTAATACTAATGGATATGATTTTCTTCCATCCTCATGATTCAACTGATAATAATAATAATACATGTTAAAATAATAATTAAAGTCATGACGATGATGATTAAAGAAAAAATTAATCCCTTATTTTCTTCATACCTCATAACTTAACACAATATATCTTGGTGCATTCTCAGGAAGTTCTACGCATGTTGACAATTAGATGAATAGATAAATTTATCATAATTACATACCATTAAAACATGTGTAATGTGATTGGTTACCTTCGACAAGTTCTTCTAAAGTTATATCATCATGGATTTCATCTTCAACAACCACTAAATTTTCTCGATCAATCTTTACTTTATTTTTTTTATTAAGTGTTTTTTTTTATAAAAAAAAAGAGAAATCCTTATGTTCTTTAATTATGTTATTTTATTTATTTTCACCATTACAACCATTATTGTTGTTGTTGTTGTTGTTATATTTTTCATTATTATTTTCATTTCATTTACTCTTTTTTCCTCTTTAACAGAAAAACAAACAAAACTTACAAACAAAAGCAGCACAGCCTTTTTTTGATTTTTTTGCAAATCTAAACTTTCGAAGTTTTTCTATTACTGTCGGATCTATTTCACAGGTCGTTGACTTATTTATTTAATGTATATGTGCGAGAGATTAATGTGGAAAAGAACAAATTAATCATTAATTACGAAATTGTGAATTAATTACAAATTGATCTTACCATTATTTACTTATTAGTTGAATAGAGGGAAAGAAATAATCTTGAGATAATCCAAACCAAAGTTATACATATTTAGTACAGATTTGCGCTGATTTCATTATTATTATATTGATTATTTGAAAATCCATTTACAAATTTTTATAAAAATTACTATAATTATAAAAGCAAAATATCATTTGTCACATTAAACTCAGATGAATCAGTTTGTTTGTGCAAAAAAACGCGAAATTCTTTTTTGTTGTGGAATAAACTTTCCTTCGATAAGATAATCCCTCCGGGCTAGTACCGACTTCTTTTTATGAAGTAGAAGTTGGCATAACAGGTATTTCTCTGATAACGGTTACTCCCATTTCTTATCTCATGTCTTCTAATCGATTGTTTAACGTGATCAACTGGTACTTTATATATCACAGTGTTGCTGGAGGTGGTAGATGTTAGAGATGATGAGTTACCACATCGTGCTTGCATTCGAATTTTTAATGGTTCTAGTGGTGCGCGAGTGATGATGACGACGACGAATTGATCAAAGGTTTTAAGTTTCAAAGGAAATTTTTGTGCTGTGTGTCCGTTCTAAATCATGACTCCCATGCTCTTCGCGCCAGAAATAGCTATCTCTATCCGAGGAATAGTTAATTATTGATTTCTTTAGACGTGAATAGTTTGCGTTCACCGTATCTGTTCGACCAAAATAATTCATATACATATTCAATTAATTGATAAAATTTATAAATACTATTTTTTTAGTAATAATAATAAAAACATTTTAAAAAGTATGTTGATTTTTTTTGATTGCTTCTTTTATTATTACTAATACCAATCATCATTGTTACAACTCCTATCATTATTGTCACTGGTATTCATTTTTATCTACATTGGCACAAATACTGAGGCATTACTGTTAAAATTATATTCAATTAAGTGTTTTTTTATTTGAATCATCGTGATCTATTGATACAGTGGATTGTTGACTCTATTATTTTGTAAATTGGCCTGTTCAATTAATTTACTAAGTGGGAGAATGCATCTAAATGGTATTTGTAACTCTTTGCTCTTGACAGATATTTTTCTGATTTAATGATTAAATCAAAAATCACGTTTTATTTTTAGAAGAACTAATGATACTATAGCAATGACAATAAATTTCTCTGACAGTTGGTCAATTCTCTTAACGTCTTTGGTAATTTTAGGTCTTGTTCCTCAAGAATATCCATTATTAGGTGATAATTTTTTACCTACAGTATGTTCCCACATAATCATTCCAAAACTATAAATTTGTACATTGTTTTAATAATAATGAAGTTAATTTGAATAAATTATGTAAATTTCCATTTCAAATGTTTCCAAGGCATTATTTACTCTCAACTATAAGTTATAATTAATAATTAATAAATAACATTTGTAAAGAAACTTGATTATTTTTTTATTTCCATAATCAGCTTCTAAGTTCTCGATTACCTTTTCTTTACAACCATTGCATAATACAACTCTATTCAATCAACATCTCTGAGAATGGAAATTTTATATGATTGTTTAATTAATTTTTTCCTAATGTTTTTTTAATGCATCAATTGATTTATTTAATAACATCATTTATATCATTTATCATTTATCATTTCTTTATCAATCGGTTTACTATACATAATAAATCATAAATCATACCTTGGATAAATTAATTCATAATTTTCACCAAAAGTTTCTTCAATGGAAAGAAAAGGAAACCGAAAATTGGAAAAAAAAGAGAGAATTTACATACATATGGAACTTAAATTTCCATTAGAGTGCAAAAATATTATTAACCAAAGAGGGTTCCTTCATTCTAAAGAATTCTTTAAATTAACCAAAATAATATAGTCTGTTTTTGGATCATCAGTTGGTATGCTCTTTAGATTTTCGCTCATATCTTTTGAAAAAGCTTTTAAATATGCATCAATCATGTTAATATCTTATTGATTAAATCTTGTTATCTTCGGCATTCTTTACTTGGAATACTTCTGTTATTATTCTTTATCATAAAAAAATAAAATTTAGACTTCTTCGACATCATTACAATAATGTTCAGGTGCTTAGTAGGATGTTGGTTGACTTGTTATTACATTATTGTCTTTGCAGATGGTTCACCAGATACACCTGATTCTGAAACATATTTTTTTGTTCGTCGATTCAACTTCACTACAAATTAGTTTCTCTTTGAATAATTCGCAAGATGGCTCTGGCTTTTCTGTAACTAAGGTCTTCCTTCACTCGAGAGTTTGAATTGGTTGTAAGTTGTTGTTGATCTTGACAAAATAAAGTAGTAATTATTGTCATCAGTGGTTGTTACTTTAGCCAAATAAATGTGTTGTTGGGAGATTGTGTACACCAAGTCCTTTTCTGATAATTTTCATGTCCAGGTTATTGTATCTATCATAGTTACTTATAAAATATATTGCACTAGTTTAATAAAGTATTTAGAAATCGAAATCGATAATAAAAATCTTTTTAGTTAAACTATGGCAATATTTTTATTTACCAGATTCAAAGAAGTTTCGAAACTTACAAGTCTTTTTATTTAAAAGTGTCTTATTAAAGAAAAAAAAGCACACCATTTTTTAAAAAGTGAACTTTCAATTTCGATTTTGGATTTCGAAAATTTAGGTTTGTTTTATAATTAATTCCATATAGTTCTGCATGTTATATAACACGCTATCACTCGAAATTTTGCTATCGAAATCGAGATCGAAACAATCTATTTCGTCATAATGTATGGGTGGAAGGACACGGGTATATGCAGGTTGAGTATAGTATAGTACTGGGTTGTACGATAGACTATGTAGATCAAAACTAATTGACATCATATATAAAATTTACTAATAAACTTTTTTTCAACGAATATAAAAATAAAATTTGCATCTACTCCTTCAAAAAAAAAAGATACAAGTATGAAATTAAGAAAAATCGTAATAAATGTGATGCTGAACACGGTGACAGAGAGTTTTTTTTAATTTTATTAGTAAAATCATCCAAAATGTTAAAAATACTGTTAAAACTTTGAAACGTATAGGCTCGATAACCAAACAAGTTAGAGTAAAAAAATTTCCATAGTTTTTTCTCTGTGATTCAAAGAATAGTCTGACAGAGAGTTTTTTTAAAAATTATTAGTAGAACAAGGATTTATAAGAATTCAAAGTTGTGCGATTTTATTAATAAAAAATTTTTGATCTTTTTTTCCTTCAAAAATCTTTTCCTTTTGAAGAAATGCTTAATAAATAAAATAAATAAATAAATAAATAAATATATAAATAAATAAAATATGATTTAAAGGTAGTGAAAAATATTGGTTAATTTCTTCTAGGTATTAAAAAACTCTGTGCTAATTTTTTAGCTGCTTCTTCCCCAACAGCAAGATCTGCAGATAAAGAAGTTTCCTTTCGTCTTTTCATTTGAATTGCTGTTAATTTTTCTTTAGTGATTTCAAAATCTAATGGGGTAGGACTTGAAAGTTGGAGCCTGGCTTCCTGTAACGATTCACTCATGTTAGGGTGAGTTTTGATATCATATTTGTTGAACATTCCTTCAATATGTTGTTGATGGACTATAATTGACCAAATTCAATGTTTAACAAATTCATATATTAATGGAAATCTTTGCATTTGGGTGTAATCAGCTTTCGAAAATGCAACAAATTGCTCTCTAAACTCATATTGCTCCGATGCTTCAAATAATCCAAAAGAATCACTTCTTCCTTCTTCTAAATTTTGTTTTAACTGTTTTACATATTTTTTTAATCTTGTAGTAGGTTCATCAGGTAGAGGATAAGATAATACTATATGGTTAACAGCTTGAGCAAATTCAGGACCACTCTCTCCTCCAAGACTATATATACAAAACAGAAGGTGAGTCCAAGTAATAATCCACCTTTTGAATGCTTCAAAAGCTTTTTCAATACCTAATTGTACTTTATCTGCCAAATTTAGAAATTCTTGCTCATTTAAAAGGTCACGGGCTGTCTGCAATTCCTTTATAAAAATTTCATCAGGACTCTGTAAAGCATTTTTTTATTCATCAATCCAAATCACCACCATTTCAGGCATCTGATGAGCACAATATCCATTTGGTAGAGGTTTACTAGAAGTTCCTTGAATAATATAAGGATGTTTATCAGAACCAAATTATTATTCTTTCATAGAACCATTCCCCAAATTTAACCATTATTAATATTTCTATATTCAACTTTTCATTCAGTAGGAATTCTAGGAATGTTTTCCATTTATGAAGATATCCATCAGGAACATTCCTTGAGCATTCTAACTCTTGAACAAACCATTGAGTAAATTTAAGATGGATTTCACATCGTTCTAAGTATTGTCTTGCTGCTATTAATAGATATAACCAACGATTTGTGAGTGGTTTTTGATATTTGTTGAAATCTTCATTCAATAATGTCTTATATAATTTTTTTATAGTTTCATTCTTCATATTCAATGGATTATCTTTATCAGACTCATTGTATCCACTATGAAGATGATAGGCAAGATTTATTACATTAAATGGATGGGGATTCAAGGAGAGACCTGAGGGAGAATTGATTTTCCCAAAGGTTGTATTGTCAAAAGCTGTTGCTGCAATATGAACAACATGCAGGCCACATGGAATCCTGCTTGCATTTGCTCTAAATCTTTTGTTGAAATTAACAATAGCACCATTCTTGGATCCTGACATATAATTTGTGTTATCAGTGAGCCAATATAGACAATGTAAGGGATTTAAGTTAAATGATCTAATGGTTTCAACACAGTTGTAGATACATTGGTTGAGGTGCAACAATCCAAGTCTTTCATACTTAGAATTGTGATAATAGGTTCCTCTTTGATTGTATTCCAATGTGCAACACATACTAAGAAGATTTTTTTATCTCCTCTTGTGCTTTCATCTGCTAGGATTCCATATGAAGCAAATGTAGAAGTGGAATTTGGAAGATTTTCAATAATTGCAAGTTCTGCCACTTCTTTATTCCATCGAGATAAAGTACTTTTTGAAACCCAAGTATCGGGGGAATGACCAGTCAGAAAGGTAAAGACTTCTCTTGTGCACTGGGTTGTTGAAGATAATGACATTTGACCTATATTGCTAATTTGGGATATCAGAGCAGTAAACTCAGGCGTATAGGTATGTTTATTCTCTTTAATCTTTTTTGTTATATTTTTTTGGATCTCTCCTTCTGATACATTTTTTCTTTTCGAAACTAATGATCTCATTCATGAAATATAAATATCTCTATTTTGTTCTTGTTTTTTTAGTTTGATGGCCAGAGTTCTCTTCTTCAAAGTGGTTGATTCAATTTTCTTAGCCAACTTTTCATTTTCACTCTTTAATAATTTTAGTGCCTTTTTTTTGTAGGTATGATGAAATAATTTCACCCTTATTAATACCATCAGGATAAACCATAATTTCGAGCAATTTAGAACATGTAAAGATTTGTTTTTCTGGTAATGAATTGATTTTGTTTATTAATTTTTGCTTTACTTCTAGAGCCTTATTACTTGAAAAAAAGTTAATTAGTAAATTTTATGATGTCAATTAGTTTTGATCTACATAGTCTATCATACAACCCAACATGTTATGCAATTTAATATTAAATACAAATTATAAATGACTGATTAAAATAATTAATTATACATCAAGTTATAAAGAAAACATAAGCTGAGATGAATGATTAAAAGAATTAATAATTATGTCAAAAAACTGATGGTTCAAACATTTATGATGAAAAACTGGCCATTCAAATTACATTACAAACTGTATTTCCTGCAACTTTAAATTTCCACCTAAGTTCCTTATATGTGATTGATGAATTCCTTTCATGAAATTCACAAAGCTGTTTTTTCTCAACCCAAGTCAAAATTTTTCTTTTTTTGTTTTATTGATCAATTGATGACATTTTCATTTTTATTAAATATTCAGCAAATAATTGAAGTAAAGAAATACCAAGATTGTAAGGAAACCCTTTTTCCTTACATTAAAATACTAATTGTTTTAATTATTATTAAAAATACAAGTTATCTTTATTAATTATGGAAAGCTTATCTTTTTATACAAAAATGCATAATATAATATTACAATTAAATAAATAAATTATTATCAATCATAATAATAACCAAAGTTTCTTCTTCAAAAAGGTCCAAGAACAAAAATTAAAAATGGAAATTTATTAAATTTAGAATTGAAATCTTTAATTTCTGGTTGGATTGATCAAAATAATGCATCATATGATTTTGAATTAGTCCTTTGTGGATCTCAAGATGGCTTTTCAAGGGCAGTTTTTGAGAAGAAATGTTACAATGTTGAACAAACTGTAGTGTTGATGAAAATTAAAGAAACAGGTGAATTAGTGGGTGGTTATAATCCTGTTTGTTGGAATATAAAAGGAAAATTTCCAAATGAAAATTATCTGATTGAAACAAACAAAAGTTTTATTTTTAAGATTAATGAAAATCAACTTGATAATTCAATATTAAGTAGGGCCAAAAATCCTGAACAGGCAATATTACATATTAATAACTTTATTGGAGATAATATAAAATTTCATGATGTATCTATACATTTTTGTGATTTGGCAGCATGTAACAGTATTAATAATGAACCTTATTGTTTTTATCAGTTTTACTATTATAAAAATAACTTAAATCTTATAAATAGTGATAAGAGAGTTCATTTGTTAGAAGAATATGAAGTATATAAATTAATAAAGAAAAATTAATGACTTATAAAATAGTCTTTACATATTAAATTAAAACCCTTATTCTGATGTTTTTTTAACTATAATTATTCCATCTTTGGAATCAATTAATAATGGACTTTTTATTCATTATCTTTTTCCAATTCTAAAGTTATACTACCCTGTATACTAACCCTGGTGCTAAACTTCATGTAACAATTATTCAAAATAAATAAATAAATGAAATGGTAAATTTTAATTTGTTAAAAAATAAAAAAATTTCATCAAAATGTCTAATAACAGTTTCTCATCCTTGGAAAATATTACAATCTTATTTAACAATCTTAACATTAATAATGCTCTACCATTAAAATATTTTAATAAGCTAGTAAATGATTTTTCAAATTTGTTGAATAATTCAGATTATTATGATGTTGAAATCAAAGTTGGAGAGGATGAGGATATTAAAATTTTTAAAGCTCACTCTATCATTTTAAAAGCAAGGTCTTTGTATTTTAAAACAGCTTTATCTAATGATTGGATTAAAAAATCTGATAATGGTAATATTTTATTTGAAAAAGAAAATATTTATCCAAGAGTTTTTGAAATTCTTTTAATGTAAGTTAATATAAACTATTTAATTAATAATTGAATTCTTTGATATTTATCTAAAATAAATTTATATTTTTATATTTTTAAAAGATATATGTATAATGGAATCATTAATATTGATAACCTGAATTTAAACAAAATTTTAAACCTTCTTGAAGCATGTGATGAATTAAATTTTAATGAATTAATTGATGATTTGCAAAATTATTTAATCAATGAAAAAAATGAATGGCTTTGCTAAAATTTAATTTATATTCATGAAATTTCATCAAAACATCAACTGTTCAACTTACTTCAAGATTTCTGTAATAAATTAATTTGTGAAAATCCAGGATCAATTTTAAAATCTAATGATGTTGCAGCAATTGAAAAATCAATGCTAATTTCTATATTGGAAAATGATAATTTAAAATTAGATGAGATTGATATTTGGAATCATGTCATTCAATGGGGTGTAGGACAAAATGTAACATTGGGAAAAAATATTTCAGTGTGGAGTAAAGATGATTTCAAAAAATTGAAAAATATATTAGAAGATATTATACCATTGATAAGATTCCATGAAATTTCTTCAAGTGATTTCTTTCAGAAAATTACACCATTTAAAAAAAATTTTGATAAAGAGGTATATAAAGAACTTCTTCAATATTACCTTAGTCATGAAACATGGCAACCAAAGTTTCTTCTTCAAAAAGGTCCAAGAACAAGTATTGAAAATGGAAAATTATTAAATTTTAAATTAGAATCTTTAATTTCTGGTTGGATTGATCAAAATAATACATCACATGATTTTGAATTAGTCCTTTGTGGATCTCAAGATGGGCAGTTTTTTGAGGAGAAATGTTACAATATTGAACAAACTGTAGTGTTGATGAAAATTAAAGAAACAGGTGAATTAGTGGGTGGTTATAATCCTGTTTGTTGGAATATAAAAGGAAAATCTCCAAATGAAAGTTATCTGATTGAAACAGACAAAAGTTTTATTTTTAAGATTAATGAAAATCAACTTGGTAATTCAATATTAAGTAGGGTCAAAAATCCTGAAATGGCAATATTCCATAATAGACAAAAGATTAATGATACTGCAGATAATATAAAATTTCATGAAGCATTTATAAATTTTGGTGACTTGGCACTAGGTAACAGTACTAATAATGAACCTTATTGTTTTTATTCATATTTTAGTCATTATGAAAATAACTTAAATCATATAAATAATAACAAGATAGTTCATTTGTTAGAAGAGTATGAAGTATATAAATTAGTAAAGAAAAATTAATTTTTATTCTGATGTTTTTTTAACTATAATTATTCCATCTTTGGAATCAATTGATTACTGACTTTTTATTCATAAATAGATGATGTGAGCCATACTAATATTAATAATTATGTTCCACAAGATTATTTTGTGATACCGCTAAATTATTTTCTCTTCATATTTATGAATTATAGTAAAGCTTTTCGATAAGAAAAAATACAAATGGGATGCAAAAAGATATGAATGAGGAGAGTTTATTGTTCTTTACCAGTAATAATACTACGTAGAATCTGGCTTATATCAAAATTCATATTAGTCACAGGACATGTCACATCAATTGATTTTCTATATGTGAAAATAAATTCGAAATTCGTGTCACATGAAGTT